CAGGCGACCAGAAAAAATAGGGACGCTGCGGAAGGGGAGGAGGGAGTGTCCAGACAGTAGTTCTAATCGCTGTCCCTGGTGCTGAAGGCGGCATTCGGCAGGGTAGGGCCTGGGCGCAGAGCGATTTGAGACAGCAACGCAGGGGCAAGGCCACCCCCCATATGACCACCGCCCAGGTGACTACCAGACCGAAGGAACGAAGAGTGGGGGTGGGGCCATTCCATAGTCCCCATCAGGCTGTACCTCTACATCAAGGTCGTTAGGGGAGGAGAGCAACCCTGTCCTTGGGGGAAATGAAGGACAGCTTCTGGATGTGGCAAGGATGCATGCAAAGCACCTCACCTGGGGAGCTAAATCAGCAGAAAGGATGAGGTGTGAATCAGGAGCCTGGAAACACAATTGGAGACCTAGACGTCATCTTAATCCACAGACATACACACTCCCTAAATGTTCCTCTTTCTCTCATTTTTCCTTTCATTCCCCTCCTTTTTACTGCCTCATTCTCACCCTACCAGTGCACCTTTTCTAGTCTCCTGTGGATCTCCCTCCCCTCCCCCATTTCACCCTCAGATGTATCCCCAGAAGCCATGTATCCCCCTTATTATTGTGCTTCTTTCCTGTCCTCTCTCCTGCATCACACGCCAGGCTTGTGACTGCCTGTGAGTCAGGCTGTGAAGATGCTCTATGGCTAAGCAAAACCTCCTTCCCTCTCCTCTCCCAGCTTACAGTACAGGATTTCTCCAGTGGCCAGGAAAGAGAAGAAGAGGGGATCCAGGATTTGTTGTTGATTGAAATCACACGGTCTGAAGGGCTTCCTGGAGGCCTGGACTTGGGGACCACCAAACTTCCGTCTGGGGCTGAAAGGGTTGATTTTTGCAGTCAGAGTCAGAATGGACTGAGTCCTGGGTTGATACTGCATCTAGGTGTGTCCTGGAGTTGAAACCACCATAGCTACTTGGGACCCTGAGATTGTCCAATGAACTTCTTTGAATGAAGGCTTCACCTCACTCCCTCCTGACCTCTTCTTTTCACAGCTTCCACCACAGCAGTATGTCTCTCTCCTGCCCATACCCTTGCCTGGGCTCAGCCAGAGTCCCATTGGGCACAGGGAGGTTAGGGGAGGAAAGGAGTGCAGAGCTTCAAGCCTTGCTGTCTCAGGATCTGCTATAGAGCTTCTCTGTATGTGCAGCACTGTCTGAGGTGCTGTGGAGGAGGGAGGGGCATACCTGAAAAGGTAATTCAGTTGGGAGGCAGGACAGATCATCCCCACCCTGGGACACAGATGAGCAGATCCCAGCAGAGAAACAGGAACTATGGGCCCAACTGTGTTGGGGAGGAGAGATGGGGTGGGGAAAGCTGGGGAAGGCTAGGGAAGGCATGAAGTCCTAGACTAGGAATGGACAGAGAGCTAGAGATGGGAAAAGCAGCAACCTCTTCAGAAATCTGGGGATAAAGGGTGGGTGAGTCATAATCCAAATAGTGCTTGTACAGCACAGTCACATCCATTGTCTCAGTGCATATTTTTTCAACAACCCTATGAGATCAGCACAGGGTATTTACCTTTTTTTAACTTAAAAAATATTTAATAATAAGAATATTTAATAATAGTGACATAGATCATATACATATAATAAGGATATTACATATATATTACTATCTAAAGAATATATATATGCACATTAGGGGTATATTTAGTAGGGATATATATATAGTAGATATATATATATATATAGTGAATATATAAGGTAGATATATATATAGTATAGTACATAGCAGGATACACACACACACACACACACACACACACATATGAAAGAATAATTGTAAAGCAAACTCACATGTAACAACTATCTAGGTCAAGAGATACTACATTGCTGATACCCCAGAAGGCTCCCTGCTGCTCTCACATTCCTTTCCCAAACCCACTATTCTAACTTTTGGTACTCATTTTCTTACTTTTCTTTATAGTTTTACCACTTTTCTGTGAATCCCTAAGTGACGCAGTTTAGTTTGGCCTATTTTTGAATTTTGTATGTGTGGAATCATACAGTGTGTATCCTTTTGTTTCTCAACATTAAATTTGTGAGATTCATTCGTACTGTGGAATGTAACTGCAGTTGGGTGATTTCACAGTTGTATAATATTCCAGGATATGAGTGTATCATAGTGTATTTATCTATCTATTGTATTTATCTTATTTATCTACATTTTTCTACTGATGGACATTTGGATTATTTCCAGATTTAATGCTCTTATCCCTGTATATATCACCTGGAGCACGTTTTTCCCTTGAATGTGTATATACCTAGGAATAGAATTGCTGGGTTGCAGGGGATGCAAATATTTAACTTTACTAGATAATTCCAAACTATTTTTCCAAATGGTGGTCCCAATTTACACTCCCACTAGCTGTGAATGGTCATTCTGTTGTTCTGTATCCTTGCCCGCTTTTGTCTGAGAGACTATCTACCCTTAGTCTAGTGGCTGACCATCATTGTGAAATATCACTGTGGTCTTACTTCCCATCCCATCCCTACCTTAGGTTTTACTGGGACCTGATCATGCTCCTGCTGATGGTGGGGAACCTCATTGTGCTACCTGTGGGCATCACCTTCTTCAAGGAGGAGAACTCCCCACCTTGGATCGTCTTCAACGTCCTCTCTGACACTTTCTTCCTGATGGATCTGGTGCTCAACTTCCGCACAGGCATCGTGGTAGAGGAGGGTGCTGAGATCCTGCTGGCACCGCGGGCCATCCGCACACGCTACCTGCGCACCTGGTTCCTGGTTGATCTTATCTCCTCTATTCCTGTGGATTACATTTTCCTGGTGGTGGAGCTGGAGCCACGACTGGACACTGAGGTCTACAAAACAGCTCGGGCCCTGCGCATCGTGCGTTTCACCAAGATCCTCAGCCTGCTGCGGCTGCTCCGCCTTTCCCGCCTCATCCGCTACATACACCAGTGGGAGGAGGTGGGGTGGGGAGGTGGGCAGGGGGCTCGCAGACTACTCCAGACAGCGATACGGGTGGGGCTCCTGGCGACTTTATGGGGTGGGGCAGATGGGTGGGACTTCCAAGAGAGGGCTGTCTCCAAAGTTGGTAGAGGAGAAGCAGGGACAGAATGAGTGTTCAGGGGATGGGTCCCCAAGGTGAGAAGGTGGTGGTGCAGGAGGGTGGAGCACAGCTGCTGGACAAAGACTTGAGAGTTAGTTGGACTCTGGGAGGAAGGTGTAGGAGAGGAGTTAAGAATTGCAGAGTGTGGGAGAGGCTTGAGTTTCAGCTTCAGGACAGCAGCAGAGTTTAGTGGTTCAGAGTGTGGGCTCTGCAATCTCATTGCTTGTGGTCAGATCCCAATTTTACTGTTTACTGTATGAGACTTGGTTTCCCCTTCTATAAAATGTTAAATATACTTACATATGATAAGGTGGTAAGGATTAAAGGAGTTAATACCTGTAAAGCACCTAGAACAGTGCCTGGCACATAGTAAGTTCTCAGTAAATTACCTATTATTATTTTTATTATTGGAGGGGAAGAGGACTTCTGGCATTAATCGTTATATATGCCCTGGGGACATTACACTGTGAAATGCCCTCTCTCCTCTTTCCCAGGCTATACTTGGGCAACTTGTGCAGCAAACCTTTTTGAGTCTCTGCTGTGACACTTGCTGTGTGACTTGGGGCACATGATTGGCATCTATTTTCCTTTTTATAAGATGAGAGTAGTAATACAACCTCCTTTGTATTAGCTATATACGCTGTAAAGCTCTATACGAGTGAACAATAGCCACAGTTTTAACATTCATGAGGGCCGGGGCTGGAGAGAAATTCAAAGAGAGTATTTGCAAGGCCAGGAATGGAGAAGTACTGGCAGAGAGGGGTTCCTGTCCACAGCAGCCCCTCCTCGGACTCCTCAGATCTTTCACATGACCTATGACCTGGCCAGTGCTGTGGTTCGCATCTTCAACCTCATCGGAATGATGCTGCTGCTATGTCACTGGGATGGCTGTCTGCAGTTCCTGGTCCCCATGCTGCAGGACTTCCCTCCCGACTGCTGGGTCTCCATCAACCATATGGTGGTGAGAACTCCCCACAGTTCAGCCCCTCCTGGGCCTTCCAAGGGCTCTTCTCCCTGAGCAGGAGGGATGAACAAAGGGGGCAGGAGGTGGGAGATGATGGAGAGATGGCCAAAAGAGAAGACAGGAGAGAGGAGGTGGGGAGGTGAGAAGAGAGTGGAAAGAGGCCCGGAAGAAGTGTCTGTGTGTTGGAGGGAGCAGGCAGGGAAGGAAACCTAGGCAGAAACTGCAGCCCCCATGCTGTAAAAGAGGCCCCTTCTGTCTCAGGCCCCCTAGAACCAAACCTGAGTTCCTCCCCTGGCAGGCAGGTCTAAAGTAGAAGGGGACAGACAGAAGGACTGAAAGAGAAGAGGGGGCAGGAGGAGAATGAGGCTCTGAGGGGTCTATGCCCAGCTCTGCAATACACTCTGCCCCCCAGAACTACTCGTGGGGCCGCCAGTATTCCCACGCCCTGTTCAAGGCCATGAGCCACATGCTCTGCATTGGCTACGGGCAGCAGGCACCTGTAGGCATGCCCGACGTCTGGCTCACCATGCTCAGCATGATCGTGGGTGCCACGTGCTACGCCATGTTCATCGGCCACGCCACTGCCCTCATCCAGTCCCTGGACTCTTCTCGGCGTCAGTACCAGGAGAAGGTCAGCAGGGGCAGGAGAAGGCAGGGGAGGGGTGCTGGAGGCTGGGTAGCTCAACTTGGAGCCCATTCTGACGCATGCCCTTGTTGGATCTCTGTGTCCTGCCTTGCCCCATGTCCATTTGTGCCATGTGTGTACCTTTTCCTTGATTGGACCAATGCACCTGTCCTTGGACCGCCCCCCCGCCCATGTCTGGCTTTTCTTGTGATTGTGCTCTGTGTCCTCCCTGTATCCACCATTATCTATATACCCTTCTGCCTCCATGTTTCAACCTTCTGGGTTTGGCCCACGTCTGTGACCTTCCTTCACACACCGCTCCCCACACACTGTTTTGGCTCCACATCTGTCTCTGTGTTTTCTTGCCTGCTGGCCATCGGCTGGCTCTCCAGTACAAGCAGGTGGAGCAGTATATGTCCTTCCACAAGCTGCCAGCTGACACACGGCAGCGCATCCATGAGTACTATGAGCACCGCTACCAGGGCAAGATGTTTGACGAGGAAAGCATCCTAGGAGAGCTGAGCGAACCACTTCGGGAGGTGGGACTGGGCAGGGCCCTGGAGGGAGGCTCTTCAAGGGCCTGGGCTTCTGGGATGCCATCTGGGGTGGGGGCTATTGGTCAGCAGGTGCACCTACAGGGAGTGGGGCCTACAGAGGGCCCCATGGGAGGTCAGGCCTTTGGAGGACTTTTAGGAGCTAGGGTCTTTCTTGAAGCTCTTATAGGGGTGAAATATACTGGGGAGGGCTGCAGGGGTCTCTGTTTGTGGGGGATGGTCCTGTGAAGGCTCATGGGAGAGCTCTGAAGGCAGGAGCTTAGAGATGGTCCCAGGCCCACTGAAGCATACCCGTCCTTTGGCAGATCATGACCCCAGGGGTGGGGCTTCTGGAGACAGATGAGCTCGATGGGGGCACCTCGGGGCAGGGGGCACAGCCTGCCTGACAGGCCCCTCCCCTGCCCAGGAGATCATTAACTTCACCTGCCGGGGCCTCGTGGCCCACATGCCACTGTTCGCCCACGCCGACCCCAGCTTCGTCACGGCCGTGCTCACCAAGCTACGCTTTGAGGTCTTCCAGCCGGGGGACCTCGTGGTGCGTGAGGGCTCCGTGGGCAGGAAGATGTACTTCATCCAGCACGGGCTGCTCAGTGTGCTGGCACGTGGCGCCCGGGACACCCGCCTCACTGATGGATCATACTTTGGGGGTCAGCAGGCCTCAGGGAGGGTCGGGGGGTCTGGAGCAGAGGGCAACTGCTCCCCTGGCTCAGGGTCTTCACCTGGCTATGCTGCAGGATCATAGAGTTCCAGCTCCTCCCCAGGCCTATTCAATCAGAATCTCTGGGTCTGGGGTCTGGAGTTCTGTAGTTTTAAAAGCTTCTTAAGAGATTCCAACGTATAGCCAGGTTGAAAATTACTGGGCCAGTGGGCCTTTTAGAACCCTTAAGCAGTGAAATCCAAGGATCTCATGAGATTTCCATGAGGGAAAGATAGGAATAAAGCAGTGCTTTCCCAGGGGCTTGACCTTTGTTGCTCCCTTGTGGAATGCCTTGGTGGTATGAATCAGGGACCCAGCCTGTGGCAGTGGGGGCAGTTCTGCCAGCTGCTACCCAAAGTGATTTGAGGCTCATATATTCTCTCAGTCCCCAAATCACCCACCACCTTCCAACCTCCCCATCGTGTTACCCTTTGCCCTTCGGCACTGCTTTCCTCCTTCTGGGTTGCCCTTGGTGTTCCTTCAAAGGGGTGGGAGGGGAGGGCACACAGAGGGCACTGCCCCAGGCCTACCCCTTGGGCTAAAGCAGTGGAGGTGGGTTGGGAATTAAAGTGGAGTGGAATAACTAGGAGTCTGGGGGCCAGCAAGAGCTGCCTGGTTATCAGCTTTAATTTGGACAGAATGAGAAGGACAGTAATTATGCAGGTCTGGAGAGTGACCATGCTTGGAGCATTTAGGGACCCTGGGTGGGTGGGTAATCGTTAGTTTCTCCCATCTGGGGAGGAGTCTGAGGAATCTGGGTCAGCTGCTGCAGGCCCAGTGAGAGGGAGTTCTGTGGACAGTGGTTTTGAAGGCCTCCTCCCAACTTCACCAGAAATCTGTCTGCTGACTCGGGGCCGACGCACAGCCAGTGTGCGTGCTGACACCTACTGCCGCCTCTACTCGCTCAGCGTGGACCATTTCAACGCCGTGCTCGAGGAGTTCCCCATGATGCGCCGGGCCTTCGAGACAGTGGCCATGGATCGGCTGCGCCGCATTGGTGAGGCCTTTCCACTCTGTCTGCTCTGGGTCCAGGCTGTGCCCTCACCCCTTGTCCATAGCAAGGAGTCCCCAGCATCCCAGGGCCCAGGCTCCAGCGCCTCAGCATCACACCCCAGCCCAACCTAGTCCCAGCAAATGCCCCAATAGGGCTTTCAACACTGTGGCTCACTGTCCTTACCACTCAGCATCTCCTACCCCTGGAGATATCACCCCAAGTTCCCATGCCTTGAATCCTCCTTCCCTGAGTACCAGTCCCTGACCCTCACCATCTGTGATACATACTCATCCCCTGACCCTCTTCCTCCAACCCCCATCTCCCAATCTCCATCCCCCAACTCCATCTCCATACTCTTGACCCCTATCCCCTACCTTCACCCCACCACCATCCCTTGACTCCATCTTGTTACCCTCATACTTTTGATATCCAACCTTCATCTTGGATTCCTTTCCTATCCTTAACTCCTTCCCCCGGGACAATTTCTAGGCAAGAAGAATTCCATACTGCAGCGGAAGCGCTCTGAGCCAAGTCCAGGCAGCAGTGGGGGCATCATGGAGCAGCACTTGGTGCAACACGACAGGGATATGGCTCGGGGTGTTCGGGGCCTGGCCCCAGGCACAGGAGCTCGGCTCAGCGGAAAGCCGGTGCTGTGGGAGCCACTAGTGCACGCACCCCTGCAAGCAGCCGCCGTGACCTCCAATGTGGCCATTGCCCTGACGCACCAGCGGGGCCCTCTCCCCCTCTCCCCTGACTCTCCAGTCACCCTCCTTGCTCGCTCTGCTCGAAGATCAGCAGGAGCAGGCTCCCCAGCCTCCCCACCTGTCCCTGTCCGAGCCGGCCCTCTGCTGGCCCGGGGGCCCTGGGCATCCACCTCCCGCCTGCCGGCCCCACCTGCCCGAACCCTCCATGCCAGCCTATCCCGGGCTGGGCGCTCCCAGGTGTCACTGCTGGGGCCTCCCCCAGGAGGAGGTGGACGGCGACTAGGACCTCGGGGCCGCCCACTCTCAGCCTCCCAGCCCTCTCTGCCTCAGCGGGCAGCAGGTGATGGCTCTCCTGGGTGTAAGGGCTCAGGAGGTGAACGCCTGCCCCCCTCAGGGCTCCTGGCTAAGCCTCCAGGGACAGCCCAGTCCCCCAGGCCATCAGTGCCTGAGTCAGCCACTCCCCGGGGCCCCCAACTCTCTTCCAACATGTGAAACCTTTGGGTAAGCTCTCGGGTACAGTAGCATGTGCCAGAGGGCAGACGCCTCTTGGGGACACCAAGGGGACCTGAAACACTGCCCTACGGGAGTATCTCCCCTTAGTACCAAGAAGATGGTCTCTGTTCTCAGCTCAGGCGCCTTGCAACCTGACATCCTCCTAATCCATTCACCCATTCATCAAAGATACTTAGCGCCTACCATGTTCAAGGGACTGTACCAGACGCTGTATGTCTCCACTGCCAAGTAGAAGTGACTCCAAGCCCTCTGATGAGGGTATCCCCCTAGCCATGGTCCTGCCAGGTGCAGGCCTGGGCCCATGATCCCATCTTACTAAGCACAAGTACTTGCTACCACCATCACTGCCAAGTAACTAGATGTCTCTGTTTTCCTGCCCATGACCTTGCAGATTCTGCCTGGCATGGTTATCTTCCTGTCTGCTAGCATAGCTGGGCACTGCCAATTACCTGTCCCCCCGCTGCTGTCAACAAATGTCTTGGGTCCCTGGTGTGGGCATCCAGCTTTACTGCCATGCGTGGACCCTCCCTGTCTATACCCCCTGAGTGGGAACACATATCTCCTGACAATTTCCTTGCACTCTCTGTCTCTGTGGTAGAACTGCCTTTTTGTAAACTGGGAGCCACCTCCTCCCTATGCCCCTGTCCCAGTGATGACCCCCTTGAAGCTAAGGGATTGTTGACACCCCCTTATTTAGTGTCCAGCGTAGATTCCCCCCAGGTTGGGGGCAAGTGAATCCTTAGATGGAATTTTTTCCTTCCTTGCTCCCTTCCTTATTTATTTACTCTTATTTATTCAATCATTTAATAATTGTATTTATTCACTCATTTACTAATTTTATTTATTATCAACTCATTTTATTTACCCATTCATTTACCCATCTCTCCCATCCCCTCCTGGTAGGGAGACAGGAATGGGCAGAGCCCCTCCATGCCAGCTCTTGTGGTCCTTGCCCAACTCCCATCAGTGGTAATACTTGAGCCCTCTCCCTAACTAGGTAGGAGCAGGAAGGCCACCTGAGAGGGAGAGGAGGACTGTCCTTATTTTTAGTTTTTTTTCCTTTCTACTGAGTTTGCTGCTGGTGCAGGAGTAAGGGGAGGGCCCGAGGTATCCAAGCCTGGGGAAGGGCAGGCTAGCCAGTACCTCTGCCTTCTCAGGGACAAGAGAAACCCGCTACCCCACCCCTCTGTCCCCACACCTACTCTACAGCATCAAAGAATGAGGGGCCAGGACCCTAAATCTCCTTTTCTCCTGGGTGGGCAGTTCTGGGGTTCTGGGTGTGTGGGAGAGGTTTTATATTGCTTCCAAACACCTGGGTTTAAAAAGAAAATAGAGACACTTGTTTTGGCTCCTGGCTTGTGTGTGGGAACAAAGTGGGCATTTGGGGGTACAGGAGGAGGTAGCAGGACACCTGACCCAGCAAGGCATGAGGTGGGTATGAGAGCAGCCAGGGAGCAGCCTGCAAGCCTAGTGGTGGTAGAGACAGTGATGGGATGAGCCTGCCTGGCTCTCGGGGCTCCCCGCCTTCCATCTACCCTAGCTTCCCCAAAAGGGTGGTGCTTTGATATCACTGACAGAGACAATGAAGAAAGAGGTGGCACTCTCCTCGGGGGATGCCCAGATTATCATGAGGGCCACATATGAGAACGTCAAACTGCATGGATGTGAAATATTTTTTAAATAGAGATTTTGTGGAGACTGTGGACATGATTGTCCTGTTCCCCTCACCTCTGCCCCCAGGTACGGGAAGACAAGGGGAATAGAATTAATCAATTAAGCTGGATTAAAGGCTGAGAGTATTTTAGGGACCAGTTAAGAGTATCAGATGCAGGGAATGTACCATTGGTGCTGTTGGATGGCCAGGGCTTAATTGGATACAGACTTTCAAGGCCTGTGCGAAATGGAGAGGGGGAGGGGGCACCCTGGATGGCAGATGTGGCCTAGGGTAGGGAGGATTGGGAGTAGAGAAGACTTAGAGGTGGGGCAGTAGGAGGGAGCAGAAAGGAGGGACAGGTCCAGGGCTGGCTCGGTCAGAGGAGGAGGGGCACCTCAGGTTACGCTCAGCACCCGCATAATGTTGGTATAGCCGGAGCCCGGTCGCCAGCCTGTCACCACAATCACCAGGTCCCCAAAACGGAGGAAGCCACGGAGCTTTCCTGGGAGGAGGAAGGGGAGAAGATGCTAATCAGCCATTGAGGAACCCAGGCCAGCCCCGTAATGAGAACGAGCTACCATCCTTCCCTCTTCAAGCCCACTCGGTAGGTAATGAGGGGCCTGAGACAAACTGTACAGTGTGTCCCACAGGTGGCACCGCAGGAATGTGACCACTGTAGTATATCAGAGCTGCATGTATGCCCGTGGGGTGGCATGTTGCTAAGTAGCAAGTCTGTCTACCTGTATTGCTATGCTGATAGGAAGAGGTGGGGTATGAGCATAGCCAATTGTCAATTAGATTTTAGTTGCAGCTGCACAGGACTGGGTTCCCCTTTCTCTTTTCACCTCTTGCTCCTTGGGTCAGGCCTGGCTCTAGCCACCTGGTGCAGGCAGCAGCTGCACCGACTTCTTAGGGACGGCCCTGACCCCTGACCCCTCTCCCTCTGCCCTCGTCCCTCAGCACGTTCCCCCCACCCCTGGAAGCCCAAATATCTCAGTCTTAGTGAATCTCACAGAGAAAATCTGGGACCAGAGGAGAGAGGCAAGACCCTTTTGGGTGGGTGTGGGGCGTGGGGTTGGAGGACTCATGATAAAAATCCAGGGGTGGATGGGGAAGGAGTTTAGGTGGCTCACCACTTTCAATGCCAAATTGGACTCGGCGATCCACGTCGTCTGCCCAGATGGCCTCTGGAGGTTCACGGTAGAGCACAGGGAAGACTCCTCGGCACAGGTGGGCCTGGCGGGCAGCCTGGGCAGAGCGGGTGACAGCAATGACTGCTGCCCGAGGTCGGTACCGAGACAGAAGCTGGGCTGAGCTGAAGGAGGCAGACAAGGTCAGCCCAGAAGAGTGAAAGAGGGTTGGGTTCTGGTTCCATGTGCCAGCAATAAGCTGTGTGACCCTAGGTAAGTCATCATATTTTTCTGGGCCTTAGTTTTCTCACCTGTAAAGTGGGTATAAGAATACCCTCCTTTCTTACCACACAAGGAAGATATGAGATGATTTTAAAAAATATCAAAATGAGATAAGGAGAAACTGCTTTGAAAAACAGAAAACCCCTCTGGGAATGCACCTTTATATAGTACTTAACTTACAAATGTCTCTTGTTAATCCTCACAACCCCATGAACAAATGGAGGAGGCTTACAGAGCCTGGGTGACTTACCCAAGGTATCACAGGCAAAGACTTGAACTCAGACCTTCTGGGCCTTTCTGCAACACCCCAGCCTTGTAAGGCTTTGTGGGCTAAATGCAGAGGACCTGCCTCTGAGCCCTAGGAGCCTAAATGGCCTGCAAGCCAATGCACCCAGTGATGCCACCTTACCCTTCCAAACCCCTGGGGTTCGCAGGTACAATTCCTGGTGTGCTTCAAGATCTGCCTCTCTAGGCCTCCAGCTCCCATAGCTGCCTCTCCTCTGATGATGAGACAAAACCCAAGCCTGGGGCCCATCCCAGCCTGCCCTTGGCCCAAAGCCCTGTCTTGGCGTTCCCAGTGTCCCCCTCACCGTCCAGTTGTGGTCAGCACGATGATGGCAGCAGCACAGCACTTGAAGGCAGCCTCCACAGCGCCAATAGCGGTGACCTCGGTGGGATCCCGGCTCAGTGGTGCCGCCCGGCGCAGCTCCTCAAAGAGCTGCCGGTGGTACACGGCAGCCTCTGCCTCCCGGGCAATCTGTGGGCACCAGGGGGTCAGGCTGGGCAAGGCTATTGGGACCTGGAAGGGATGTGGTTTTCCAGCCCGTTTGCCTTGCATTCTGAGCTCCTACCGCATGCTGCATCTTTACAGCCTCCACAGGAAAGTTGCCTTTGGCAGTCTCCCCCGACAGCATGATGCAGTCCGCCCCATCCAGCACAGCGTTGGCCACATCACTCGTCTCTGCCCGGGTTGGCCGGGGCTTACTGATCATGCTCTCCAGCATCTGGGGGACATCTGGATGTCAGAGCTGTAGGAGTCATACTCCGACTGGGGACCCTGCCCTGAAGTAATTCTTGGACTCCCACACTCTCTGAGGGCCCCTAAAGCCAGTGTCACACTCACAGACTATGTGATCCTGGCTATTCTGTTTCCTCAACTGAAAGTGGGGGTCCCAGTATCTCTTCCTAGCTTCGTTGTTTGAGGGTCAAACACTGGACAGCAAAACGTGCTAGAGACCTAAGGTGTGGGTATTCACCTTCAGGTGTCCCCAGACCCACAGAGGGCCCTGCCCCCAGGGCTCATTCCAGACCTGTGTAGCACAGACAACGGGCTTTCCCGCCAAGTTGCAACGGCCAATCATCATCTTCTGAGCCAGGAAAACCTTCTCGGCTGGGATCTCAATGCCCAGGTCACCCCGTGCCACCATAATGCCGTCGCTCACCTCCAGGATTTCATCAAACCTGGGCGGTTGGGGGAGTCAGGGCTGGGGAAGAGCCAGGAGATGCCAGGGAGAGGCAGGCAGGAGAAGGGGAGGGGCGATGGGGATGGGTAGGGCCTGATGGGAACAAAGACCAAGGCTCACTTCTTCACGCCTTCGTGGTTCTCGATTTTGCTAATGATCTTGATGCCCTGTCCTTCCAGCCCCAGAGCAGCCCGGACGGCAGCAACGTCGCTGGCTCTCCTCACAAAGGAGGCAAAGACGATGTCCACGCCATGCTCCACCCCAAAGCGCAGGTCCTGGACATCTTGCTCGGACAGTCCGGGCAGGTCCACCTGGGCCCCCGGCAAGTTCACGCCCTTCCGGCTGCCCAGGACACCGCCGTTCTCCACGTGGGTCTCCAGCCCCTCTGGACCTACAGGCATGGAAAGAGTCAGCTAAGGTCAGGGGTGAGGCCGGGGGCTTAGTCACGGCAGCGGGAACATGAGGATTGGACCCCCAAGAGAGTGGAACCATGTCCTATTCATCTCTTGGTCCTCGGCCTGGGCTCTGCACCGAATAGGCACAGGGCGGACTTCTGTGGAAGAAACTACTAACCCGCCAGTCCAGCCCCAACCCAGGGTGAGCCCAGGAGTCTGGATGCCGAGGGCTCGCAGGACGGGTGGCCAGGGGAAGGTGTAGTGGGTGTGAAGGGCGAATGCGGGAGCCAAAAGGAAGAGAGTGCGCGCATTGCGTAGGGCCAGGGCGGGAGGCGCGTCCGCACCAATTTTCGTGACCTCTAGGGAGATGAGCCCGTCGTCAATGTAGATGCGGCCCCCCACCGGCACGACCTGGACAATATTGGCGTAGTCCACCCACACGGTGTTCGCGTCCCCCCGCGTCCGGAACGCAGGGTCCACAGTCACTAGCACCTGGGAGCCCTTCACTAGCTCCACTTCCGACTCAGGGCCCTAGGGGCGGGGCCAGAGGAGGACTGAGTTCTGCCTGCCTCGGTGGGGGCCGGCCCCTCCCCATGCTCCGCCCTACGGGCAACTGCCTCCGCACCGCACCGCCCCCTTCCCGGTCCCCAAGACAGGGCGGGTCGCAGGTCGCCTCTCACCCCCTGCAGGATCCCAGTGCGTATCTCCGGTCCCTTGGTGTCCAGAGCGATGGCCACGGGTCGGTAGCTGAGCGGGGAAGTTGCAAAGCTCTCCACCGCCTCCCGGACGTTGGCGATGGATTCAGCATGGTACTGGGGATGGGAACAGAGGGACGATTTCAGGGGAAGGTGGCCGGGACCCTGGGGCATCCTCTAGCCCCGCCCGCCTCCCCTCGGCCCCGCCCTGAACCTCATGGGAGCCGTGGGAGAAGTTGAGTCTGGCAATGTTCATCCCGGCCCTGATCATCTCCTTGAGGCGCTCCACGGAGCGAGATGCCGGCCCTGGAACCAGAGATCCCACTCAGACAACTTTCTCCCCAAACCTGAGAGACAGGTGAACCCATCACCACCCTCAGAGCTGCCCCAGGCCACAGAAGTACTGTTACCTGAACTTTGTTCCCTGACGCCACCCCTGCTCGCAGGTCAGAAGCTCCCTTCCCCTCTCCAGCTAACACAAGCCTCCTTGCACTGTGAGGCCCTAGAAAGGTGGGCTCAGCCAGGCCTGGTAACTGTGTTGGCAGTGATGTTAAGTGTTGCGGTGTGGGGGTAACCCCAGCGTAGGAGAAGGGGGTGGGTGCCAGGTGAGGGCATTTGGGGTACCAGGCTTTAGAGCTGAGAGGCCTCATATTGGACTGAGGAGAGTCGAGTTCTATCCCATCCCTGCTCTGCTGATAGGACGGCTGTGTAACTGAGACTCAGTTGACTAACCTCTCCTGTCCCTCCCTAAAGCCAGTTCTTCCACTTGTGCACTGGGTCTCCTTCTCACCTGCTCAAAAACAGATTCAGCCATTCCCCATTCCTCTGTGTCATCAGTTTTCCTTTTTTGTTAGGTCATTCCCATCAACATGTAAACCTGCTGTTAATTTTCATCCCCCCCCCCAAAAAAATCTCCTAATCCCAGTTCCCACTCCAGCTACAGCCCTATTCCTTTGCTCACCTTCGCAGCAAAATTCACCGCAAGAGTTATCTCTGTACTTGCTGCCTCCAATTCCCCTCCCCCTATTCTCCTTGTACCCACTGTCCACTACATCTGTTCTTGTCAAGGTCACCAAAAACCTCTGTGTTGCTGCTAAATCTAATGGTCAGTTCTCAGTCCTCATCTTAGCTGGTCCATCAGCAGCATTTGACACATATCCTTGATGTCCCTTCTTCTCTTGGCCTCCAGGACACCACCCTCTCTTGGTTTACTCCTACCTCACTGGCTGCTCCTTCTCAGCCTCTCTTGCTCTTTACCCCCCTTAACATTAGATGCTCCTTTTACCTTCACTTCCTTGGTGGTCTCAACTAGTCTCATGGCTTTAAATACCATCAATATGCCGACAGGTCCCAAATTTATGTCTCCAGTTCAGACCCCTTTCCCAAACCCAGAGTTGTGTATCTGATTGCCTACTCTGTACCACACTTGCATGTCTAATATGCTTCTCAAACTCAACATGCCTCAAACTGAACTGATCTCCTCCCCGCTAAACCTTTCCACCACAGGCTTTCCTGCTCAGTTGATAATGCAGTCGTCTAGTCCCTCACGTCAAAAACCTGGGAGTAATCTGTGACTCCTTTTTCACCCTCACCCCCACCCCATATCCAATCCATCATATTCTGTTGGCTCTACCTTCAAAATACATTCAGAATCTGATCACTTCTCACCAGCTCCACTGCCACCACCTGTTCTAAACCAGAAATACTGTAGCAGCAGCTTCTGCCCTCGCCCCCACCCCCAATCTATTTTCAAATATTGCAGCCAGGGTGGTTCTGTTAAGACATAAGTAAGGGCATGTCATTCCCCTGCTCAAAACTCTGCAGTAGTTTCCCATCATACTTGGAGGAAAACTCAACTCAGATTCTGAAAATGGCCTGCAAAGCCCTACTTGACCTTCCCTTTCCCCCAACCTCTTCATTTCTGTTACTCTTCCCCTTGATGGTTTCCAGCCTCCTTGACTTAGGGCCTTGGCGTTGACTCTTCCCTTTGCCTAGAAATCTCTTCCCCCAGACATCTGCATGGCTCATTTTCTCATCTCCCTCAAGTCTTTGCTCGGGTCTAATTTTCTCAACAATGGCTACCCTGACTCTCTATTAGGACTGCAACTTCCCTCCTGCCCTTGCATCCTGATGCCCCTTACCATCCTTGATTTTTCTTTTCTTTTTTTTGTTTTCCATAGTACTTACCAGTTTCTAACATACTAAAGAATTCCCTTATTTTTAAAAATAATTTATTATGTTTATTAATTATTGTCCCACCCAGCTAGATTGTCAGCTCCCCAAGGGTAGGGATCTTTGTCGTTTCACTGATCTACTCCCAGGACCCAGAAGCTTGTCTACCAAGCGCTCAACAAATATTTGTTGAATGAATGACCTCAGTCAAACAGGGAGAAGTCTCAAAGGACACAAAAGATGAGGAAGCACCTTGAGAAACACCCAAGAGGCCCTGTGATGCTGCAGGAGCAGATAGAGGGCGCTTACCAATGGTGGCAATGATGCTGGTACTACGAGCGGCCACAGGCTCGGAGTCGATGTCCAGCAAGCAGAGGTGTTCCAGGAAGGTGTCTGCCATAGCAGCTGGCAGCTGCTGCTGCTGGAGGAAGGAAGTGCCCAGCTCCTGGGTCAGCTGGGCCACACTAGCCCGCCGCAGGTACCCCGCTGGTCCTGCAGTAGAAGGGGGGCTGCGTGGGCACCTGCTTCTCCTCCCCATCCTTTCATCTCAGCACAGTCTCTATTCCTTCCCTCAGTTCTCCCGTTTTTGTTGAGTCTTCTTATGAGCTGGGCATTATGCATGCATTATCTTGTTTAGTCTCAAGGGTGCTAGGAAGCAGGTACTGTTAAATGCTCTGTAATCATCCCCATTTTATAGGTAAGGAAACAGAGGCCGAGAAAGGTTAAATAAATTGCCCAAGGTCGTACAGTTCTAACTAACAGAGATGGGATTCCCATCCAGGTCTGACTAACTCCAGTCTCAAGTTCTTGATCACCCAGCTATCTGATCCCTCACAACCCCCAACTTCTTGCCCTTTAGCTGCTGACTTCTCTCAGCCTCAGCAACCCCTTGATACCTGGTTCACAGTGGCCCCTCATTTCCAGGCCGAGAATCACCCAGTTCCCTCTCCTAAGGTCCCTGTATTCTTCCTTCCAGCCCCGGGCAAATGGCTGGCCTCCCACCCCCTCCTCTGAGTTTCCTCAGCCCCTTCAGTGCTACTCCAGGTCCCGAGGCCCCAGTAGCTTGACCCAGCCCAGCCCAGAGGAAGAGGAGCCCCACTGCCGGCCGCACCCTCCATGCCACTGCACGCCTGTCTATCTCTGGGGGTCTGATCCACGCTGTCAAGCTGTCAGAGGCATGAGGCCCAGCTGGGCTGGGGATCAGTTCTGCATCCTGGTTAAAGTGTCACCAGTGTCTCCCTTGTCACTGGAAGCCCTGTGCACCAGGGGCCAGAGTCCAGGAACCACGAGAATACCCCGTGGCTCCCATGCTGCGAGCTCCCCTCTGCCCTGCCTACTGGGGCTGGGAGAAGAAGCCCAGACCAGGGTCCATAAATTAACACAGGGGAGGCTCCGATGAACACAGATCCTCCCCAAATACCTCGCAGCCAGCAGCAGATATGGATCATTTGTACATCCCCACCCCACTCCTGATTTCTACCCTCGTTTTCCCCTTCTCTTCAATGGCATCTGTGGCCCCTTCTTACCTCCTGGAGCCCCAATCAAGATGGACTTTGCTAAATCCCTTTGGGACTTAGAGATCCATGACCAAAGACACATGGGTTGCATGTTGTCCTGCACTGACATCCTTCCAAAATGTGGAGGTGGGGCTGCCCGGACTGTGGAGAGAGAGGGGGAGAGGATAACAAAACTGCTGGTCTTATCGAAGGGCGCCAGAGAAAAGAAAAGGGGCACACCCAATAGGCCACCCCTGTCCCCACACAGAGTCCCTCCCCCAGACCTGCTGGCTCTCTGCCCCTGTATTCTGGCCTCCCCTCTCTCTCATCCATTTTTCCTGATAAATTTTCAATCCATTCACACTGTCCGGTCATCAACCTGAAGAGAGATTTTTTTTTTTTGCCAGTGATATGGTCCCTTTTTTGTACTTTACTGAAGTTAGTCCTAGATGAATCTAGGAAGCAGGGGATCTAGGGTAGGGACTGGAGGCTGAAGAAAGGGGATGGGGAGCATTTTGATCATGTGGGATTCTCTGGAAGGGCTCTGATAGCATCACTGTCATTATCACGTTGGCTACTATTTGTTCATTGACCATCTGCAATATTTTTTGAGCACCTACTCTGTGCCAGGTCCTGAAGATACAGTGGTGAGCAAAACAGACAGAGCCTGTACCCTTCTATGGAATTTATAGTTTGGTGGGGAGACAGACTATAAACAAGTGTCAAACAAATAAATATATAACTACATGCTTTGCAAGTTCTATGAAGGAATGAATCAGGGTGCTGGGACAAAGAAGCCAATGAGGAAAAGGGGGGGATGTATTTTTTTTTTTAATATTTATTTATTTGTCTGCGCAGGGTCTTAGTTGGCGCCCGCAGGATCTTTGTTGCAGGGTGAGGGACCTTTGTGGCGGCATGTGGGATCTAGTTCCCTGACCAGGGATCAAACCCGGGTCCCCTGCATTGGGAGCGCAGAGTCTTAACCACTGGACCACCGGCAAAGTCCCGACAGGGGGATGTATTCTATTTTATTTATTTATTTTTGGCTGCATTGGGTCTTCGTTGCTGTGTGCGGGCTTTCTCTAGTTGCAGCGAGCGGGGGCTACTGTTCGTTGCGGTACGTGGGCTTCTCATTGTGGTGGCTTCTCTTTGTCGCAGAGCACAGGCTCTAGGCGCGCGGGCTTCAGTAGCTGTGGCTCGCGGGTCCTAGAGCGCAGGCTCAGTAGTTGTGGGCCATGGGCTTAGTCGCTCCGCAGCATGTGGGATCTTCCTGGACCAGGGCTCGAACCCGTGTCCCCTGCATTGGCAGGTGGATTCTTAACCACTGCGCCACCAGGGAAGTCCCGGGGGATGTATGTATTTTAGATGAGGTGGTCAGGGAAGGCCTCTTTAAAGCAGTCGTATGTAAGATGAGATTTGAAGGAGGAGAAGGAACCAGTGGGGACAATTTGGAGCAAAGAGTTTTCTGAGGGGTTGCCAAGGCTCCAAGGAAGGAAAAAGCCTGGTGCTAAAGAGAGGGCAAGCTGCAGTGAGGCCATGAGCCTGGGGTAGAGGGGTGTGGTCCCTGGTGAAACTGGGCTCACCCAGGGAAGTGACACCCAAGTGATGCTTTAGAGCCCTTTAGCTGGGTGGGGGAGACCAGACAGTAGGTGTAGCGAGACCAGTGAGGGCTTTTAGGAGTAATCTAGGTGGGAGGACTAGCATAGTGGCAGTAGAAGTGGAGAGAGGGAGACAGATTTGAGATGTATTTTGGAGAAAAGCAGACAGGATGGAATGATGGAGAGATGTGGAGAGAGGGAGAGGGAGGCTTTCATCCCTAAAGGATGGCACTGCGGTGTCTGGCTTGAGCAGTTGTGCAGATAGTCGTGCCACTCACTAAGACTAGGGAAGAAAGAGGTTGGCAGGGGAAAACATTCAAAGTTTCTGTTTTAGACAGGTTTAAGTTTGACATGTCAGTTCATCATTAAAATCAACATGCAAACAGTTGGATATGTTCACTGAGCACTCAGCATATGCTGGAACAGCATTCAAGGCCTCATACACATCCTCTCCTTTTATCATCATGATGATCTAGAAGGAAGGTTGGACTAATAGCCTGTTTCATTTTTTTTTTTTAATTAAGAAATTTTTTTTTGGCCACGCTGCACAGCTTGTGGGATCTTAGTTCCTTGGCCAGGGATTGAACCCCGGGCCCTCGGCAGTGAGAGCGCAGAGTCCTAAGCACTGGACTGCCAGGGAAGTCCCCTAATAGCCTGTTTTACAGATGAGGGAACAGAAGCTAGCAGGGTGCATTGAGCATCTTCTGTTGCCACTTCGGATCCTTCCTCTACCCTTTCCACTCTGCTCTGTGGCCAGGAGGCTGAAGGCCTTGCCCCATGGCTTCTGTAGGGCTTGGCTGTGGAGAGTGGCACTAATAGGAGATGAGATGGAGCAGAGTAAGGCTGGGCGTTTACCTGCCCCTCCCCTCTGTGAGGTTGCTGTGGGGCCTGCCGGGGGGCCCTCTCTCTCCAGATTCTAGGCAACATGCTCCCTCCAGCTCCTGGGCCCCTGAGGGTGGTAACTAAGCCACTGCTACTAGCTTTGGGGTAATGCACTATCCCTTGTGGTTTACCAACACCCTGCCCATACCTTTGCACATAATCCTCTTATGAAACACTCCTCAAATTATCTAATTTGAGAAAGACTTCGATCTGATACACTTGTCTGGAGCTAAAAATCTTGGCAGTGGTGGAGCTGGGATTCAGGCCCAGACAGTGTGGTTGTAGAGTCTGAGTTGTAACCACTAAGCTCCATTCCTTCCCTCTCAGGACTGTTTCAGTGGAAGAAAAGGGGAGAAGCCCCAGACCCTGGTTGGAAAAGAAAGAAAATAGATAGTAGGAAGGACTTCCCGAGGGGGAAGGAGCTTGGGGTCCTAGGCTCTATGTATAGAAGACAGAACAAATAAAGATGGACAAAAGTTGTTACCAGAGTGAACATAATAGACTTCAGGGGCTGGAGACTCAGGCTTTGTGCTTGGGGGTTGGAGAGGGACATTTAAGGTTGGCCTGACAATTTAGAACTGACTCCAGGACCAGTTGAAAGAACAAAATTCCGAGAGATCCAAGTCCCAAGCAGCCAATAGGAGGCGGGGCTGGTGCCCCAAAGCAGCCCCTGGCCTATCCAGCCAAGGGACAGCGGCTTCAACCTAAAATCAGGCCGCAGAGGAAAAACAGTCTGGCTGACCCTGGGTCCACAAGTAACCACGTGAGAGATGGCCTGCACTCTGTCACAGGGTCAGGCAGCCCTGAGCAGGAGGTCTGTGGGTGAGAAATCTGGGAGAAGGACTATAGGCCCCCAGGATCCAAACAGAATGGGTATACTCAGCTTTGTCAGATTCGACCCCTCCCCATCCCCGCAAACACACGCACCCTGACACCTTCAGACACAAGCATGTGACATCAGACACACACACAAGCATGGATGGGGCCCCTACCATGTGCTGTGTCCCATGCAGACTCAGGCTCCCTGCCCAGACTGGGGAGGGGCAGGGATGCTAGCAGTAAGGTTTAATAAAGTGTGTCAGGCGGGGTGATGGAGTTGTACACAGAACACAGAGAGCACCAGGAGAGACTGAGCGATGCTGGTGAGGGAGGTCAGGGGGGCTTCACGGAGGTGATACCAGAGCTGTACAGGGTCAAGGACAGAGACTGACCAATGCCGGGACACATGCACACGCGCGTATGTGCACACGTGTGCACACAAACACCCGCATTCCACCGATGCACACCCCACCCAACCCTAACACACATGGAGTCTACACTCACACCATCAGCACACACTCATACAACAGACTCACACAGACACAGACACACAGGAACCTCACACACTTTTCCTTACAGAGACACACACTCACACACACCCATTTATGCACACTTGAGCTCTCACACACGCACACAAAATCCAGGCTTTGTCCCCAGCCTAAGGTGGCTTTATTCTGCAAACCAGAGAACACCCGCCCTCCTCATTCGGGAGAAGGCTGCCGACAGGCCTGCGAGGGGCGCCCGAGAGCCGCCAGCTGGCACACGGCCGAGGGCGGGGACGCTGGGCCGAGGAGGCCCCGGGCCCGCGCCCCCGCCCCCAACTGCGAGCCAGGGTGAGGCGGAGAGACGCTCTGAGCGTCGGTTTCGTCATCTGCAAACCGAGATAATAAACCTTCCGGAGCGCTCCGCCCGATAATGTACGTGGATGTGTTGTGAGCACGACCCGAACAGAGAGCTCGGAATTATTGCTCTTGTTCTCCTGAAAATATGGTGACTCCTCTCCCACTGCAGTCGTCAGAATATCGGGGGTGGGGCCCTGACTTTGTATTTCCAAAAGTGCCATAGGATTTGTCCAAAATGTACTTACATTTATTTGAATAGATATTTGCACAATCTACAAAATTCAGAGGAACAAGGTATAGGTCAAGAGTTTCTTCCTTCCCAACTTCATTCCCCTGCCCAGCCACTCAGTTCCCCCCTGCACGTTACCAGATTTATGAATTTTCTATGTATTCTCCAAGAAATAGATAATGCAGGTACAAACAATATATAATTGTTCCCATTTTTATTCACGTGGCAGCATGGTACCATCCATACTATTCTGAACTCTTTTTTTCTTTTCCCGCTTAAAGGAGATCTTGAACGCCTTGCATCTGAAGAGAGGCCTCAATTTTGCTCACAACTTTTGTAATAAGCTCCCTGAAGTCCATCCATGGAACCCCTCGTTTGCATGGGAGGATACTAGCCAGAGAAGAGCTGGAGGCAGAGGCCAGTCTAGGCCCATATCTCCTTTTTCTTTTGAAAAAAAAAACTGTGGTAAAATATACATTAGATAAAATTTACCATTTTAACCATTTTTAGGTGTATAATTCAGTGGCCTTAAGTACATTCACAATGTTGGGTAACCACTACTGTTTATTCCCAAAACTTTTTCATCCACTCAAACAAACACTATACCAATTAAACAGTAACTCCCCATTCTTCCCTCTCCCCAGTTCCTGGCAACGTCGATTCTACTTTCTGTCTCTGTGAATTTGACTACTCTAGGTACCTCATGTAAGTGGAATCATACAGTATTTTTTCTTTTGTGCCTGGCTTATTTTACTTAGCACAATGCCTTCAAGATTCATCCATGTGGTTTCAT